ATGGGGACATGTGGCACATGGACACCCTTGGCCTGGTTGCTGCACCAATCCCACAGTGATCCCACTCCTCCCCTCAGAGTCCTAGGGCAGGGAACTCTTGTCCTGGACATCAGCTCCCCTGAGCCCTGATAACAGGGACATGTGGCAGTGGGAAAGTGGCTGGTTTGGGACCTCTGGGGATGTTTAGGGACATGGTGGTGTCCCCATGACCTCACCTTGTTGAACTCAACAGGGCTGAAGATGTCAATGCGCTCAGAGAAAAGCTTCTGGATGTTGCTGAGCAGGTGAGTGTCCATGGGGGCACTGAGGACATGGACACAGGGACAGTCAGGGACTTGACTTGACAGAGCCAGGGATGTGGGGACAGGGACATGGACCATTAGGGGCCATGGAGAGGGTCAGAGGATGCAGGGATGCTTTTGGGGACAGAAAGGCAGGGAAATGTGAGGATGGTCCCAGGACATGGAGGGACAAGATAACTGAAGGACACAAGGATGACGGGGATCAGCAGGGGATTCTGGGACAGTTGTAAGGAACACAGGGATTGTTGGGACAAACAGGGATCACCATTAGGACAGTCTGGGGATACGGGGATAAGGGCTGTCAAGACAGCCTGGGACAGTCTGGGATCATGAAGAGGGTGACAGGGAAGATGCAGTGGATATTCAAGGAGTGACAGGGAGCCCAGGGTGCCCTGGGCAGTGACATGGGGAGCCTGGGGGTGCGAGGGTGAGCCAGGGTGGCAGGGCTGACCTGGGGGTGTAGCTGGGGGCATAGCGGCCGGGTGCCCGTGAGCTGCTGTAGACGGAGAAGGCGCGCCGGCTGGAATCGCTGCTCTGCGCCCGCCTCACCCCCTCCTCGAAGAGCTGCCCCACCTGTGGGTGGCACCACACCCTCAGCACCCACAACCCCCTCCTGGGACCCCCAAACTGCCCAGCATCCTTCAAAGTCTTTGCCAGCCTCCCACACCCTTCCAGAATCCCCAAAGGGCCACACGGGGATCTTGGGCAGCCCCTCAGCCCCGGTGCCAGCCAACCTGGACGTCGATGGCGGTGATGTCCTCCACCACGCGCTTCATGACGGCGCGCACGTTGCGCGGCTCGACGGTGCCCAGCCAGTCGCGCGTCTCGACGCTCTTGCGCAGCATCTGCGCCACGGCCGCGCCCTGCACCTGCACGTAGTGGTCCAGCAGCCGCTGCGCCGCCGCCCGCGCCTCCGCACACAGCGCCGGCCCCGGCGTCACCGCCGGCCCCGAGTCCTGGGGACACACACAGGCAGGATCAGCCCCGCACCTCCCCTGCTGCACTGGCAGCACTGAGAATATGAGGGGCATGGGGACATGTGGCGATGCCTCCCCTCCCTGTGATTCTACGTCTGATGTCCTGGGGGCACAGGGACATTGGGGACAGGTGGGACATTCCCCCTGAATCAGCACCACTGCCCTTCTTACAGGTCCTTGGGGCTACAGGGGCTCTTGAGACCATGCAGAACCCCCCTGAAAATCCCTCAGGGACATTCAGGATCCCCTTAGGGCCATTTAGAGGCTCACCTGGGGTGGAAACTGCTCATCAGTGAGGGTGAGGATGTAGCTGATGGTGGAGTTCTCATAGTCCAGGCAGAGACGGGCGAGGAGCAGCAGCAGGGCCGGGGGGGCAGCGGGAGCTCCCCGCTCAGCTGGGCCATCAGCGAAGCCACGGGCGGTGCGGCACAGCCAGCGCACGAAGGCCACCACCAGTCCCTCACGCACTGCTGTCACACAGAACTCCCCCTGTGACACAAATGAGGGGGATGGGTCACACCCCAAAACTGCCCTGTATGGGCTCCAAATCGCCCTGTGACCCCAGCCTACTCTGTGCCACCCACAGACTGCTTCAGTGACCCCAAAAATGCCCCTAGCCCCCTCAGCCCGTTCCCCCAAAGCACCCCACCCCGTGTTACTCCACCTTGAAGTAGGGCAGGCTGGCGAAGGCGACGTCCCTGGCGGTGAAGAGCTGCACGTAGGCCAGCACGGCCTTGAGCTGGCCCAGCACGGAGGCGGCCAGCGTGGCCAGCAGGTCGGGCAGGCCGGGCCCCTCTTTGCCGGGGGGCCGAGGGGCGGCCAGCGCCTGGCGCACGTCACCCAGGCAGCCCAGGAAGAAGGTCTGCAGGGCGCGCAGGTAGCGGTCGACGCGCTCGCGGGCGGCCCGGGCCACCAGCGCGGCGGCAGCGTCGGCGCCCGCGGGCAGCAGCTCCAGCAGGGCAGCAGCTCCAGCAGCGCGCGCAGCCGGCGGTGGAAGCGGTCGAGCGCCCGCACCAGCAGGGACGTGTCGCCCAGGCCGCGCTCCAGCGCCAGCCGCCGCTCCAGCAGCGCGAAGTAGCGGGAGGCCAGCGCGGCGGCGAAAGGCTCCAGGCGCCCCGTGTCCCCGCCGAACAGCGCGCGGTACGAGCCGGCCAGCTGGCACAGCGTGCCCACGAAGGCCGAGCTGCCGCGGTCCACGAAGTCCAGGATGTCGGAGGCGGGCGGCGGCGGCGTGGCGGCCGCGCCCGAGGGGTCGGCCGCGGGCAGCTCGGCCTCCAGCGCCGCCAGCTCGGCCTCGAGGCGCGCGCCCGCCTGGCTCAGGAACTCCTCGCTCAGCTCCTCGGCCGGCTCCTCCAGCTGCAGCAGCATCTCCACGCACTCGGTGAGCTCCTTGGGGTCCAGCTTCTCCTCCCTGGTGGCCGGGAGGGCCCGGAGGTAACAGTGGCATGGTAGAAAAGAGGGAATAACCAACAGGAGTCATCAGCAGGCTCCGGAGTGACCACCCCCAAACCCGCATTTCCCAGCTGCCATCAGCAGGCTCCCGGTGAACGCACCGGAGGCGTGTGCGGAGGCGCTGGGCCAGGTCGGCCATGATGGCGTGGCTCTCGTCCTCGATGGCGCGGAAGGAGGGCAGGTGGCGGTAGTGGCGCAGCACGGCGCGGGCGCGGGCGTGGCAGCGCAGGGCACGAGCCGGCTCCGTGCCCGCCCAGCGCCGCAGCCGCCCCGGCACCTCCACCAGCGCCTGCAGCTTCCGCAGCAGCGCCTGCACCCCTGCAGGGACACGGGCTCAGCGGTGGGGACACAAGGGCAGCAGGAGGGGACGTGGTGGTGGGGCCAACTGCTGGATCTGCCCCCATGGGGGACACCCACCCCACAGATCTGCCCCTCTGCCCCACACGATTCACCCCAATAAATCTCCCCGGATGGCCCCACTCCGTACCGGCCAGCTGGGCGCCGCGGCGGTGCCGGTCCTGCAGCGCGGCGCTGACGCGGGCGCTCGAGGCGCTGATGGCCGCCATGTTGGCCGCCAGGTCGTCCATCTCCGCCTCCATGTGCCGGAAATCCACCTTCATCTTCCGGATGGTGTCTGGGACACACGAGCCAAGCGCCAAGTCCCTCGGCTGCCCGGGACCCTCCCGGCCCACCCAGGATTAACACACCACAGCCATAACCCCCAAAGGAGGCTGGTTACTGCGGTGGTTGTCACTCCAGAGTGAACCACCACAGTCCCCAGGCCAGCTTCCCAGTGCTGCCAGAGGGAACACCCCCAAATCCCCATTTCCCAGTGCTGCCATCAGCAGATTTCAGAGTGAACACCCCCAAATCCCCACTTCCCACTGCTGCCACCAGTAGGCTCCAGAGGGAACAGCTCACCAGTGGCGGAGATGAACTTGTTGTAGTTCTCGTAGAGCAGGGTCTGCATGTCGCTGTCCAGGGCGCGGATCTCCCGGCTCAGCGCGGCCTCACGGGCCAGGAGCTGCCCCAGGGGACACTCGCTGCGCACCTGAGGGGACAACGGATGCCCATCTGCCCCTGGTTCCGTCCACTGCCCCCCTGGAGCCCCCTACTTGAGATCAACTGCCCTCCATAGTCGGTCTGAGACTCTCAGATTCCCTGCAGGATCCCTAACTGTCCCTCCTGGATTCCTCCCGGGATATGGAAGCGTTCCCCAGGAGCCTTCCCTGCCCTCCAGGGCTGCCCCCGCGCAGTGCTGACTGCCCCGATCCAGCTGCTGCCGGGCACCTCAGTGCCATTCCCACACGGAATCAGTGTCCACAGGGAAGCGCAGCCATAACGTGGTCGAAGAGGCCCTTTCAGGGATCCCCTCAGCATCCTGGGGCTCCGAACGTTCTGGGGACCCTGCGGCCCTCCGCCGCCAGGGTCGGGGCCACCCATCGTGACGTGGCCCGGCGGGCACCTCCCGGGGCCCCTCGGAGCCCTCGCCGAGGCGGGGGTGCCCGCGGGAGGGGTCTCCGTGCCCACCTTGGTCATGAACACCTCCGGGTCGAAGTGGGGCCCGTTGATGTCGGTGGGGTCCGGGGCCGCCTCGGCCGCCTCGGCAGTGGCCGGGCCATAGTAGCGCTGGAGCGGCCCGTGGGGACGCCGCCACCCGCCGCCCCCGCTGCTCCCGCCGGTGGCCTCAGGGCTGCCTGCGGCCCCGCTCCCGGCCGCGGCCCCGGCCCCGCTCCCCGCTGTCGCCGCCGCCATCGCGCCGCCGCTTCCGCCCCAGCAGCCACTTCCGGTCTGTCCCTTACGCCACTTCCGATGCGACGCCCGGTTGCCATGGCGACGGGGAAGCGGCGCCGGACATGGCGGGGCCCAGTTACCGGGGCCTGGGGCGGCTGCCGCGGGGACGGAGCCGGCACGGCCCGTGTCCTGCTGCGCCATGGGGATAAGGACTGCCGTGAGGACACAGACATGGGTGGAGACACCGACCCTCGAGGGGTGAGCGGCCGCTGGCACCCCCAATCCTGGGCCCGTGTCTCTCACCGTCGCTTTTCACCACTGTCCACCTGTCCGCAGGCCTCCCCAGTGACCCCGTGAGTCCCCGGTGCATCCCCATGCTCATCTCCCCGTGACACCAGGTGGGGTCCCCCACCCCACCCGAGGGTCCCGCTCCAGCCCCGGGGTGGCTCTGGATGATGCTGGAATTGGGCTGTGAGACTGCAGGTACAACCAGGTCATCGACCTTGCACCTCGCACAAAGAACAAACATCTGGGCTAAAAGGTCTAAAATCAGCTTTATTTACAGCAGAAAAGGCAAAAGAAACCCTGCCAGGGTGAGGGCCAGGCTGCTGCAGGGGCCTTTCGTCGGGAGTCACCTGCTCCAGGAATCACAGGCCATCGATTCTTCCCAAAGGAAAGAGCCCAGAACTGCCACGTTGCACCAGGAAATCAGAAAGAGCCAGAGGAACGTCCTGCTGCCTCCTTTCTCCTTGCCTTTCCTGCATGTTTCTTCCCAAACATGGAAAAGAGCACACCCAATCCAGCCAGGGTGTGTTTTGTGAGCAGTTTGGTATGTGGGACAACATTCCCTTCATAGCTGCGGACCCGAGTCAGCCCAAGGGCAAAGGAATTCCCAGTGGGAACAGGGGGAAAGCAAAGGAACACCCAGCCATCCATCCATGAAGAGGGTTTGCTGCAGAGTCTGACTCAGAGGAGGAGGAACGGCTGAGCCCTGGCTGTTACAGGAAGAGAGAAGCAAATAAGCAAACACACCCCCCTCAAGGCAAGGCAGGGGCTCCTTTTGTGCCTCATAAATGCATAAACAAACCAGAAAATCCCTCCTTGATTCCCCCCACTCCTGAGGGCACCGAGAGGGGAATTCCACCTCTGCTTTATTGGCACTACATCTCCCCAAAGTGCTCTGAAAGCAGGGTGCCACAGTAACCACAATTAACTGGACCTTCTGCCACCGCATTTCTTTACCCTGATTTAGTAACTAAATTTGCACGTGTGTGGGAAGGCTCTAGAAGGTTCCACCCAAGTGCAAATCCATGTGGTTGTGGACTGTGGCCCTCCCTTCCCACAGGGTTCAGCCTGGTTTGCCCACAAGGACGATAAAGAAAACCAAGCCAGGATTTAATGCAAGTCCTGCTCCCCTGCATCTCTTCCCTGCCACAACCTGAGAGCATCCAGGCCCAGATCCATTGCTAATTCCACCCGAAAGCAGCAGAGCACAGGTTTCCTTTCAGCCCAGGGACACGGAGAGTGGCCACACGGAATGCAAGTCAATCCTACAGCTCGCTGTATCCACAAGTCCCCGGATTTGTCAGTTCCTGGTTTTCACTGAGGGAGGCGATGTGGAAGCGGCCCTTAGAAACAGGGATGTGGACAAGGCAGGAGGTCACAGCCATGACCCCAAAATCCCATGAAGATCCCTTCGGAGCCAGCCTTCTTTCGGAAGAGCTGTCTGGGCGCAGACAGGGCGACGACGAGGAGCTGGAAGGAGGAAAAGTCACCGGGAAGGTGGAGGTGTGGCTGGAGGCTCCTCTGGAAAACAGGCAGGTCTGTGCACGGTGGGGTCTGGCCTGTGACACCTCCCAGGCCGGGCTCAGGTCCCCGCCCGGGACACCAGGTAGTAGAGGATGAAGAAGATGAGGACGAGCGCCACGGACACGGCGAGGAGCAGCCGGCGGTTGTCGCGGCCGGAGCGCGCCATGCCGGAGAAGCGCTTCACGCTGCCCGTCAGCAGCCCCGTCACGCTCAGGAAATCCGTGTCCTGCCGGGAAAACACACCTTGGAGGCGTTGCAGCACCACGGAACTTCCTGGGTTTCCTTGGAGGGACTCACAAGGATGAGCCAGTCCAGCTCCAAGCCCTGCACAGGACACCCCGACAATCCCGGTGCTGATTTAGGGCTTCTCCCTTCAGGGCTTTTGCCGTCCCACCTCTCATCCCAATTCCCTGATTTGCACAGAAAGCCCCGTGTCCTGTCTCCCAGGTCCTTACCATGCCATCCAGGTAGCGGTTCTGTTCCTCAGCATCCTTGTCAATATCCAGAGCCAGCTGCAGGGCAAGGCAGGAAATGGGCATTAATGAGCTTTTAAAAGAGAACCTCTAAAATCTGAAATGCAAATTATTTAAACAAGCTGCTGCTTTCCCAGCTCCAACAGACACACAGGGGCTTGTCTGGTGCAGGAACAAGGAAAATGGCATTTCCCTGTCAGGCAGGTGAAGTTTTCCAGCTCTGAAAATAAAGCCTGGCTGTCTAAATCTGCCAGCTAGAGAGGGGAGTTTAAACCCTGGGACACAATGGCAGGAATTCAACCTGCCCTTTTACACAGTGAGGCATCGACTTCTTTCATGGTTTGTACTAAACTTTTAATAATAATTTAGAGCTTAAAGCTCTAAATCAAAGTGTTTGTTGTTAATAGGAGCAAACCAGCTTTAAGAACAGCTACACAGAGACACAGGTATTTTCCAAAATTAATCCACCTGCCTTTTTTTCATTAATTTTTCCCTGAGGAAGTGAGCTTAGCAACACCCCTGTGTTCAGGTTGGATAGGGCTTGGAGCAACCTGGTGTAATGGAAAGTGTCCCTGCCCATGGGAAGGGGTGGGACTGGATGAGCCTTAAGGTCCTTTCCCATCCAAACCTTTCCATGGTTCTGAGATCCCCTGCAGGACTCCCAGGTAATCAGAGCCTGTCCTTCACCTCAGCACCTGCTGTGACCTCGGCACTCACCGACTTCAGCCTGGTGACCTTGCTGGCCAGGCTGTCGGCCATCCGCTTGTTCTCCACATCCAGCAGGTCCTCCATGGCGCTCGGACTCTGCCCTGGGGAGAAGAGCGAGGAGCACACATCGTCCCTGCCCTGCCACAGCACAGCTCCGTTCCCGTCACAGCCCCTCCTCGCATGGTTTGCGCCGTGGAACCCTCCCAAAATGTGACCAAAACGCCGCAGACTTCCCCCAAACAGGCCAGGGCGAGAACCCAGCCTCTCACCCTGAACTGCTCAGCAGCAGCTGGCAGCAGGGGTTCCATGGCCAGTGACACCCAGGGGTGAGATTTGGGTGAAACCCGGCAAATCCGGGGCCCTTTGCCCCTCGGCCGCGTTGGGGTCTCCCGGCATTGCCCCCCATTGTGGGGCAGCGGGGGTCCGGGGGGTTAGGAGTTCCGGGGCAATTAGGGGCTAGGGGGGCAGCTGGGGGCTCAGAGGGGTACTTGGGGTTTATGGGGGGCGTTTAGGGGCTCAAGGGGACAATTAAGGGTTAGGGGGGGCAATTAGGGGCTGGGGGGGCAGCCCAGGACCCCAAAAGGGGCCCAGGTGGGCAATTTGGGCTTGCGGGGGGGGGCTGTAGGGGAGAAATCGCGGGGCTGCAAGAGACCCCGTGGGGTTCAGTGGGATCGGGAGTTCTTCCTCGCTCTGACCCGCTCCAGCCCCTTCTGCCCCCCAAACCTGTCCCTGTCGCTGTCCCTTGTCCCCTCACCTCGGCCCCGCTCCGCCATGGCTGCCCCGGCCCGTCCCGCCCCGCCGGGCGGAGCCGCCACGAAATGTCCGCCCGCTCTTCCTCCTTCTCCTCCTCCTCCTCCTCCTCCTCCTTCCCCCCGGCACCGGGACCCTCGGGCCGCTCGCCCGGGCCGGGGCGGAAGGGCTGGAACTCCCCCCGAGGGATCCCGGGCCGCAGGTACGGGCAGCGCCCCGCCGGGCACAGGGGCGGCGCAGGGGGCTGGGGGACCAAACAGCGGCTTGGGGACAAAACCCGGGGGACTGGGGACAGATATAGGGCTCTGGGGACGAGAATAGGGTCTGGGGGAAAAAAAAAGATTTTTGGGGAAATAGTTAGGGGTTTGGGGTGGGGGAGAATAGAGGTTTGGGGGAAAAATAGGGGCTTGGGACAAAAATAGAGGTTTGGAGGAAAACATAGGGGTTGGGACAAAAATAGAGGTTTGGGGGGGAAAGTAGGGGTTTAGGGACATAAACAGGGTTATGGGGACAAAAAAGGGGGTTTGGAATTTACCCAGATGGTGGGGGAAGGAGGTGGCAGTGTGAGGAAGCAGTAGGAGTATGGAAATGGGGATATGCCCAATGATCCATTGGGTCATGCCATCCCCCAAAAGCAGAGGTGGATCCCCTCCATCCCAGCCCCTGCACATGGGGATGCTGTGTCCCTGACCCGGGCCGGCCCAGCCTCTGTCTCCGCGGCTTTCTGCCTTCCAAAACGCAGGATCTGCCTCTTTTGTTGCCCCCGAAAAGCCCCTCTGGGGCTGCGTGGGCAGGAGGGGACAGCCCGTGTGATTCCCAAACCCCGCGGGCCCTGGGTGGGATCCCGGTTTGTTGAGGTTGGTGTGACCAGCTCAGCCTCATCCTCATGGCAACACGGAAGCCGAGCACATGTCCGAGCCCAAATCTGCCGGATTTCCCCCCAGAGCGAGTCACGTCCCAGCACCGTGGGCTCGCGTGGCTCCGTGAGCCGTATCCAAAATAATCCCGCGGAGCTGCGCATCTGCTGGCTGGCACTGCCGGCAGGGACATCCTCTCCCGGGGGCGGCCGGCTCCGGACGCGCCTTTTGGCTGCGCCTGCAGGGATCGGCCATCATCCAGCCGGCACCGAACCCTCCCCGCTCTGCTTCCCACCACCTGCCAAGGTAGCTCCGCCTGCGGCCGGAGGATGCTCTCCCGCCTGGCTGCCTCGCCGCTCCATCCCTTGTCACTCCACGGGAATGTTTCTGCCTTTATTTGTTATTTTCCCCCCTGTGCGGCAGCAGAAATCAGGGCAGGCGGGGCGGAGGAGGAGGAGGCAGGGAGCTATTTCAGGGAGCTGCTGTTATCTGCTCCACGTTAATCCCCAGCTGGTGGGGGGAAGGTTTTCCCTGAGTGCTTTCCTGGGAGGGCATATATTAAACATTGAAAAGCAAAGCGAGGAAGAAGAGGATTAGCGGGAGAGAGAGGAAGCTGGCTGCTGGCTTTGCTCGGGTTATCCATCTGCTCCACTTTTATGGATGCAGCAGCGTGAGCAATATCACTTGGGATTTATTTGTGTTGCGTTTTTCCCTCCTTGCTCTTTCCACCCCTTTCTCTCTTCCCTCTCAGAGGTCTGTGTGCCGAGCTGCTTTTCCATCACCCTGGAAATCCCCTTGCTCCCCTTCCTTCGGGCTGTGCTGTAGCTGAGCTGTTGGGATAATGGAGCTCCAGGCTGTGGTATCCACGCTGGAAAGCGGGGAGCAGGACACGGTTCTCAAGGTGCTCCAGGTCTACAACCAAGAGGTGAGTGAGCATCAGTGCTTCCCTCAGCTCAGGAACTCCTAAAAATTATTATCTAGATCACAAGTAAGGCCTGGCTGGGAAATAAGAGTCAGGGTGAGGGCTGAGTAGGAGAAGCTTTTATGTTAAGGCAGTTTTGGAGGTGCTGAGAGAGTCCAGGGAGGAGCTGCAGGTGAAAGGATGTTGGGATTTGCAAGTCAAAAGATGTTTGGAGGTGACTGCTGGGATCTCGAATGGGCACGGCTCTGAAAGCAGTAAATAATGAATGTAGAATATCAAACCCCAATGATCTGGAAGCAGAGATGGGAGCATTTCTAGCCTTAAAGTAGGAAAATATTATCTGTGGTGTTAAATCTCTGCTTGGAGAAAGGAGACTGAGCGGAGACCTCAGCCGTTTACAGCTTCCTCCTGAGGGGCAGCTCCAATCTCTGCTCTCTGACCAGTGACAGGACCCAAGGGAACAGCTGGAGAGGTTTAGGTTGGATATTAGGAAAAGGTTCTTCCCCCAGAGGGTGGTTGGGCACTGAGCAGGCTCCCCAGGGAGTGGGCACAGCCCCAAAGCTGCCAGAGCTCCGGGAGAGTTTGGACAACGCTCTCAGGCATAGGGTGGGATTGTCATGGTGTCTGCACAGGGCCAGGAGCTGGGCTGAATGGATCATGTGGGTTCCTTCCAGCTCAGGATATTCTGTGGCTCTGTGAAATCCTGTTTGAAGCAGCCTCTGGTTGTCAGGGAAATTTCCTTCGGAGGTTTCCCCTGAGAGGGGCTGGCCCTGTGGATCACTCTGACTCACTCTGCACCAGGCTGGAGTAGGTGGAAGCCAACAGGGAAAACCTGAGGAATATTTTGCAAGAGTGTGTGTGAGAGAGAGAGAAAGAGGGAGAGAGAGAGAGAGAGAGAGAGTGGAACTATTCCTAACAGTCGGATTTGGAATGGGGAGATAGTGGCCAAGAAGGAGCGGGTGTCTGTTAAGGATTAACAGCACCAGCAGCAGCTGCAGCACCAGCATCCTCGGGGTGCAAACAGTGTCTGTGTGCCCCCAAACCATGATATTTCCTATTGGATTCCCCCAGCTGGGTCCTTCCTGGGGTATCAAGCCTAGGGAGCTGCAACCACAGGGTTTGCTGGCCCGTCTGGAGGAAATGGAGCAGTCAAAGAGGATTATGAAACTGCAGATAAACCTGGCACGGCCTGGCATTGCTTCTGCTGCAAGGCTGATGGTTCAGTATCCTTTTCCTGCGGATTTGTTTTAATTTACTGTTGTGCACGCAGTTTTTGCTTGCTGGGAATATACTACAGCTAAAGCAAAACCCCAGGTGTGGCCAAAATATCCCCAAATGGGATTACAGCCTGAGAAGAGGGTGTGCTGAGGGAAGAACAAGCAGCCTGCTTGTGGAACACAGTGGTGCCAGGACTGAGCCATCAGCTCCTGGTAGTGTGGATGGATCAGCTCATGGAGCTCACACACAGCCTGGCTGGAGTACACCTGTCCTGCCCCCACACCTGGGGCTGCTCCAGACTCTGTGTCCTTTGCTGCTTCCAGATTGGACAGAACCAGTTGCATCCCTGGGCTCTTGGTGACTGCACACACATAATCAGTGTTTTATAGATTTTAAACGGTTTTGTTCTCCAAGCTGGGATCAAATGCTCTCTTAGTATGAACAAGGATTGCCTCAATGACTGGGAGGTGCTGCTTCTCCCCAGGCACCTGTGATCTCCAGTTCCATGGGAGCAGGTTTGGTCAGGAAGGAGACTGGCAGTGAAAAACAAACAAAATAGTAAGAGAAACACAATGAATGGAAATCAGGAGTGTTTGTTAGCATGGGGACAGGATGGAGTGTGGAGATCAAGTCCCTTGTGTTTAAAGAACAACCTGGATAACCACGAGGATCCATTCCCATGTGCCAAGGAGACAGGACTTCTTTGGGTCAGGAACAGGAATAGTAAATACCAAGGGGAGACGTGTAGGCACAGCTCAGTGGTATCACTGAGCAGGGGAGTTACCAGTTCTTATAGGATATTGGGATTGGGATGAATACCCACTGTGCTGCTGCAGTATTTAAATTAAATCCATCTGTCAGCTGGCCTGCGGCATTCCACTGGTGCTGTGGATCCAGAGGTGATGCCCATGATGTGGGGGGGACTGTCAGGAGATGGTGTGTTTGCTGTTGCAGCATGTTTTGGACCCACTGCTTTCCAGCTGAAGTGCTCTGCTCTGGTCTCATGGAGTTTTAACCTGTTCCTCTTTCTGGTTGATTTTGTTTTTCCCACAGAAATCTCAGTGCTTCATCTTCGAGGATGAGGAGCGGGAAGAGAGGAAGGTAGGCACACGCTGCTTGCTTTCCTCCTCTGGTCAGTGTGTAAATCTGCTGCTCTGTACTCGTGTCCAGCTGGGCTTGGCAAGCAGCTCCCACAGGAGAAGAAATGAGAGTTTTCCATTAGCTTGGTTAGGGAATGGTGTGCTTGAAGTGTCTGGCTCTGTTTTTCTCCATCAGTTGGTAGTTTTGGATAAAGGTCAGCATCCATCCGACGCTAGCAATGGTTCCATGATCCATACAGTTCCAGCCATGGATGTGATCTCTGGTGCCTCTGGACAGGGATCACAGCAGTGCTGGCTCTGGGGGCAGGGTGAGGGGCTCCACTGGGAGCCAGCAGTGGGATTTGCCAGGAGCTGTGTATTAGCAAATCCTTTGAGCTGGTGTAATCTGGCACTTGGAGGGAAGGACACTCTGCCTGCTCATTCCTGCTCCTGCAGCGCTTTGTGACAGGGCAGGCCTCAGCCTGGCTGTTCTCCCATAAAAATCACTGTTTTCCCTGGATTATTTTCCAGCTGGCTCAGTTCTGTGGTCAGTTCACCGGTGGATGGTGCCAATGCCTGTGTTAGCACAGCAAGTGCAGGCCAGGCGACATGGGTGGAGAGCAAGACCTCCTTTGGCTGTGCCAGGGCCAGCTGCTGCCACATGGAACATTCCAGGCACAGCCTGACTAGATCTGATGAGATCTGAGCTCTTTGCCTTGCACTGACGTGCTGTTTGAGCTGGGACAGTCACAGGATGTAGCTTCAGGCACAGTGTCCCACTTTTGGGGTGTCTGCCAAGAACAATGAGATGAACATCACCACTAGTTCCTTGGGTGTTCAGATGGTTCAAGTTCAGGCACACACCCTGAGATCCCTTTCCCCTTGAGCCAGCCTGAGGCTTTGGTTGCTGGGACTGTATCTGAAACTTTGTCTCCCTGTGAGGAAGGAGAAGAGGAGCAGCTGTACTTCACCATTTCTCCAGGATGTGAGTATGG